CTCTTCTTTTAATACTTCTACTCATTTTTACTAAAATTTAAAATAAGGTACATTTTTTGTGACACATTTAAACAAACAAACACACATAAGTAATAATCTTTTTTCAATTAAACAAACTATAAAAATGAAAATAGAGAGTGACAATTTAACCCAAAATATCTTATTAAATCTCATTAAGTAAATTTTCTATCATTTTCACTAAAAATTTATAATAAGTTACATTTTGATGGGAAAAAACAAGCACACATATGAATAATAATAATTTTTCAATTAAACAAAATTTAAACGATGGCCTAGGAGAAAATGAGCGTTTGACAATCAATCGTTTTTGAAAAATGAACTACATGACTATATATTTTTTGTTATCAAACACTCACTTCTTCCTAATGAATATACTTATAAAATAAAACAAGTATAATTTATATAGAAAAAGGTCTGAAGATAAATTTGACATAGCAATAATTGTTATTTTTTTAAAACGCTTCTTATTCATTCCGTTTAAATCAAAAACATATTAATTATGAATACAACCTTTTAATATATCTCTACCATTTTCACATTTTGATTGTCTCTCTAGAAATAAAATCCAACATTGAAAATAAGAAATTAGATAAAGAAGGAAATTGTAATGCATATGAAGTTTTTTTTATTCTTTGTAGGAGAATAGGAGGAGGGAGGTACACGAGGAAAAGATTAGATGTAAATTTTTTGAGCAGTTGTAACATATATATGCCTGTTGATAAAAGCAGTTCATCCTATCATTACGAAGACGAGGTGAACCAGTGGCGTAGTTAGGATTTCATCTAAGGTGGATCCACTTAGAAGAAAAATACACCTGGTAAAATAATTTTTGTTAACTTTGCGAATCATTCATGACATAATCTTATATTGAAAAATTTTGGTTAAGTAAAATAGATTAGCAGTCTAAAGTATCGAGAATATTAAATACCAAACAATTATTAATGATTTAGTTAGTCGTTCTGTTTCGTATGATGTTCTTTATAAAAAAACCATTAGTATCTATAACTCAAGTTGTCAAGAGATATTTAATAATAAATCTTACACCAAACAATAATTCATGATTTGGTTAGTCATTCGCTTACAAATGATGTTATTTGTCAAGAATCTTTTTGAATCAATAAATTGAGTTGTTGGAAGAGGTTCAATAATATATCCTATACTATTTACTAGCACGCCCCCTCATATAAGAAAGTCAACTTATAGAAAAATGAAGTTTGCACAAATCTGTATATCGTGTACTTAACAAATGAGGTCGCCAAAATTTCGAACAAAAAATCTTTCGATCAACTATTCTCAATTAAATACCCCTAATTTTCTATATAAATTAACTATTGTACCTAATTGAACAATTTTCCTTCCGAGTCAGGGTGGGTCTCGGGATCCACCCTGTTATACTCTCCCTCCGCCACTGAGGTGAACCAAACCGAGGATTGTCGACTGCTCCCTCTTCCTCCTTGATCTGAAGCTTGCAACTGCTCACTCTTTTTTACATTATTTTCTTAATTTCTTCCAAATTAAAACTGTTGGATGGTAAATTTCCCTACTTGATGAGCGAATGTATTTATTCTTTGTTTTCACGGAGTTATTTTATGTTCTCTATTACGTCATATACTTTTATGTAAATAGGTAATATATGATTAGAAAGGATAATTGGTTGGACTTAGAGCATATGTCCTATGATTGAATAATTGATTTTTACTTAAATGCCTATTGCAACCCGATTCTTTAGATGTTGAAATGGAAAGTGGAGTTGTGAGGGTTTTTCATTATATTCCTTATGTTCATGATTGACATGCTACTAGCTAGCTATAAGATAATGATCTGGTTAATAATTATTAGGTAGCAATGGGATTATAAGTAGAATGGAACATAATTGGGGGTTTTATAAAGGTCGTGAAGAAGAAAGAAAATGACTGTGGCGGTTCCTCGGTTGTGTATTTCACTATTTGATGTTTTTTCAATTTCTACACGTTTGCAATGACATTTGTTTGTTTCATTAGGGTGAATTTCTCCACATTAAATCCTAACTAAAGTTTGATTTTGACATGATTATTTTCTTACCAACTACTATTTTGATTGGTGCATAGATTCAGTTCACAAATTAGGAATCTGCAAGATAGAATGAGTTGAGTTGTATTGAAGTATGCTCCTTTCATTATTTGTCTATGTTGTTATTAGGTAAAAAAACACTATTTTTTTCCTTTAGGAGATATGCAGCTCTCTATAAATTATAAATTGTGTTTATATGAAGTTTAGTTTGTTGAAAATATTGTTTTAATAAATTAGTGACAACTAATAGTTCTGTTTGTGGTTGGTTTTGCTAGAACATTGACAAGATAAATTAATTGAGTATCCAGAAGACTGATGGATGTGGATGCTAATGTATTTCATCATTATTCCAGAATTGCAAGTGTAACTGATAATACACGATATTCGTGAGATCTAGATCGGAATATTCTCTATTATCATATACAATATAGGAGAAGGGAAAGAAAATGAAAAGCTCTTCACTTTTTTTTTATTAATTGAATCCTATTTTCTTATCCTAACTTCTTCGTTTTTTACCTTAAAATTTTTAACTTCTTTATCACTTTTTTGAGTTCGATACAATATTTTAAATCAATAAAGAACGGTCTACAAAGAGCTCAGTTAATACAATTAAATTTTTTATAAATAAAAAAGGTATAAAAGTATGAAACATTACCTAAATAAGGTTAGTGAGATTTACAATTTTATGTATATTAAATCAACAAATATAAATGATAATAATAATTAGAATACTACAACGAATTTTAAAATAAATGCACCGCCCAACGGGCGGGTAAAAAACTAGTTGAATTATGAAGCGGATAGTTCCGTAGATAGTACTGATTAAGTACATCAACAAATCAAGCTCATTGAGTTAAACAACGGGGCAAAAAAAAAAGTGAAAAAAAGAATTTTGAGCCCTATATTTGTAAACTAATTAGCTTGCTATTGAAACTTTTGCTATTAATTTTCTACCAAATTATTGTAACGTGACAGGAAAACAAATATTTAGAAATTAGGATGTGTTTGGATAGAAGGATTTGTAGTTGGTATTTGTAATTTGGATTACTAATTATCAAATCATTCATTTGGATATTAATTATATTTAGTATTTGGATATGTCTCAAATTCATGGTGCGATTTCCAAGTACAATATTAAAACCAAACCGTCCAAACTAATACAACAACCAAATTAATCAAACTAAAGTTTAATCAGTTTAGTTAATTAGTTAACCATAGTAACCAACATAGCATCACATTATCATTAAGTGAGAAAACTTCCGGTTAGTTCAACAATTCACAATTTATATAAGAAATAACAAATAATAATCAACACACAATTATAGGTCACCCTTAAAATAAATACATGTAACTAATACAATTATCTAACATTTGACTCTTGAGTGGTTATGCAAAGTATTAAGTATGTGTATATAATATATGGCAAAGGCTAGCATACATCAGACGTACATCAGACGTATGATCACACTTGGTTTTTGCACTTCAATATATTTTGTTGAATCAGAAGAACCATCGATTATTTTTTTTTATATAGATTAAATGGATCTTGTGGCTTGGGTTAGAGAATTAGGGACTAAGGTTCACCTATTAGAGGTTAGGGTATAGTATCATGCCCCAAACTCCGATTAATTCGTACTTTAAATAGTAAAACTCGACGGATGTATAACGTATGTCTAACGTACGCTAGACTGAACAATATAAGACAACAATTAAAAGGCGATGTTTTATGTTTCCCCTTGCATTATCAAACTTAAATTTGCTTCAACCCCTAGTTTGCGAGGCCCTAAAGCTAAAGGAACAGAAAACCTCATCTATCTATCTATATTTCTAGATGGTCAAATCCTTTGTGGTGGCCTTAAACTAAACTAAAACCCCTCCCTCCCTCTCTAACTTTAGTGGTCAATAACTTAGCAAGCTAGCTGTCATTATTATTGAGTTCCCTTCCTCCACAACATTACTCAAACAAGAACCAATTAATTTTGCCTACTTGCCCCTCTCACACAGCCTTCCATTGTCAACTTGCTAGCTGCCAAATTCTTCATTTGTTGGTCAATGGGTTTACACAAATGAAGGAAGAGTTAGTTAGACTTTTAAGTTCCAACCTCAATAGAAAAATGTGAGGATTTAAATTCAATTATAATTCTTGTAAACATATATATATTGTATTAATAATCCACACACTCTGATCATTTATGGAGCCAGCTATTTGTGTCACGCACACAAGCAACCGACATTGTCATCATTCCAATACCATCCGTTTCTTTATTGCCAACCAATACTACCAGCTCCTAGCATCTCTTAATAAACCAAACCGCTCATGAATGGTTAGGCATTTGACTCGAAAAAAACTCATTCGATACTCGATTCATTTTAATCGAGCCGGCTCGCGAACAAGCTCGTTAACTAAACGAGCTGAACTCGAGTCATACCATTTTCAGCTCGAAAGCTCGTGAACAAGCTCATTTAATGTTTTGGCATAAGACAAGATTAGAATTCATGGATTTTATGTATTGAAATTGGGTTAAATATTGTGTTTTATTTTGGTAGACTTGTTTATAGGTTTGAATGTAATTTTGTGCCCAATTCTAGGTCAATCTTGAGCTATTATGAACATTGTATGAGCTTTACTCGATATTGGGCTCATAAAGCTTATTTGACGAGCCGAGCTCGAATCGAGTTCGAGCTTTCATTTTCATAAACGAACCGAGCTCGACCTTGCATATTAAAGCTCGTGACGAACATGAGCCGAGCTCGAGGTTGAAAATATATTAACGAGCTAAGCCCGAACTATGACAAAACTCAACTCGGCTCGGACCATTAACTGTTCTGCCAGCTTCTCCTCCTTTAATCCTCAACAACAACGCAACCTATTTAATCAGTCGGAATCAAGACTCAACCTCCAATATTGTCTTCTTCTCCTTCTACAAACAATGGCAGCAGGAGAAGAAAGCAGTAGCAGCCGGAGATGCAGTGTAGTCCAACTCCCTGTTGTGGACATCTCTCAGCCACTGCAGCCATCATCTTTGTTGTCCCTTGCCGAGGCCTGCAAACAGTGGGGATTCTTCCACATCATTAACCATGGAATCCCCAGGCAACTCTACAACAGAATCTACTCTCTCTCTCAACGTATCTTCAGCCTCCCTGCTGACACCAAACTGAGTCAGCTGGGTCCTTCCTCCCTTCTCAAAACCTACACTCCACACTTCATCGCATCCCCTTTCTTCGAGAGCCTCCGCGTCTCGGGCCCTGACTTCTTGGGATCTGCTCACAGCTCCGCCGATGCCCTCTTCGCCACAGAACTGGCCTCCGAGTTCAGGTATATTCGTTTCTTGCAACAAATCATTTTTAAGGGTTTCCTCTGTTTTCCTCTGTTTTCTTCTGTTTTATTTGAATTAACGAAGTGTATGCCCCCTGTAACTCGGATTGCATTTATGTTTGACAGCGAGTTGCTGCAAGAGTACGGAAGCAAGATGACGGAGATATCGAAACGAATCCTGGTGATTCTGCTGACCATCCTGGGGGAAGGCTTGGAGGAGAAGTTCCACGAGTCCGAATTTCAAAACTGCCATGGGTACTTGAGGATCATAAACTACACGATTCCTCCAGCTGCAGAGTCGGAAGAAGTGGAGGGTTTGGGGATGCACACGGACATGAGCTGCGTGACCATCGTGTATCAGGACCAAATCGGAGGGCTGCAGTTCAAGTCGGAGGGAGGGGAATGGATGGATGTAAGCCCGTCGGAGGAGACGCTGGTGGTGAACATCGGGGACATGCTGCAGGCGTGGAGCAACGAGAAGCTGAGGTCGTCGGAGCACAGGGTGGTTCTGCCCGGCAGCAGCAGCGGTGGGGCGGCGAGCTGCAGGCTGTCGCTGGCGTTCTTCTGGTGCTTTGAGGATGAGAAAGTCATTTGGGCGCCGGAGGAAGTGGTGGCGGCAGGGTGCTGTGGGAGGAGGAGGGCTTACCGACCCTTTGTTTGCTCGGATTATCTGAGGTTTAGAGAGATTACCAGTGAGAGAGGGAGGTTTGATAAAGTTAGCTTCACTGTTAGAGATTTTGCTGGCGCCTTAACGAAATTAATTTAATTATTATATATTCTCTTGATGATAATCTCTTCCTTTTCGGGATTTTTTTCTCTCTTTATTTTGCCCTCACGAAATTGTACCTGACATCATACTGGATTCTTTTTTGGTAGGGTATTTTGTGGTACGACCGTGGTTCAACCATTTTCGTACAGGTAAATACTATTTGTACTAATAAAAAAAATTTGTCAAAAAAAAAAAAACCGTGCCGAGAAAATTAGGGTACCATTTCTTAGTAATGTCGGAATATACCAGACAATAAATACTAAATCTTAAAAAATATTAAAGGACTTTTGGAATTGGCCCTATGCCACGTAATCCACGCTAAAATTCTAAGTTGTCCACGTCATCTTCCTCTTTTCCCTTCCACGACCACCGGCCGTACTCCGCCCTTCCGTTCTATTTTGTATTTTCCCTCTGCGTAAATATCCCCGATATTACCCACTGCCGAGTGCTCAACTCCTTCCTTTCTCTTCTGTGAGCAAATAACTCCTCCCTTTCTCTTCCTCCACCATTGGGACGTAGTTCTGTCTTCTTCTTTTTTTTTCTTCCAAAAACCCCCATTGACTCTCCCTCCTTCAACCTTCAATTGCACTGAAAGTCATCTCTGTAGAGGCGTGCGAAATCTTTTGCCATCCCAGGGGCCGTTGGCGGCCACCATAGCAGAGTACGGACTACAGAGATATGACAATTCATATCCAAGCGGATGGTTGAGACGAAGCAACATAGATATGACGACTCCCGGCGAAGCATCGACAGAGACAGAGGAGGAAGGAATTGTGTATGCGGACAGAAAAAGAATGACGATGGAGATGGAGATCACGGCAGCGTCGACATGGTGCAACGGTAGGGGAATCACCGGCTGTTGTAAAAGCCGAAACTCTGCCCTTTTACGAAGCCTTTTATCTTTTAAATGTAAATTAGTTATCATAAGAGATAATCACCGGTATTTAATTTTTATAGCAATCCCGATATAAAAGTGTTGTTTTGGTTTATGGCAAGAATCATGATTCATGAATAATATTCCATGGTGAGTTAGAAATTGATATCAAATATTGATTCACTTATCATGTGAACTATGGTAATTTTTTGTGTTATAATTGGTAATCTAAACATAAAATTGTACCGCGTGACTTTTTAAACCATTTTGGAAGGCATGAATAAAAATTAGAAAAAATTGAACCATTTTATATGGCTAAATTACACATTTGGTCACTCAAAATATACAAATCTTTCACATTTGCCACCCAAATTACTTTTCTTTCTTATTCGCCACTAACTTTATAAATCGTTTCACCGTTAGTCACCGGCCGTTACACTCCGTTAAATCTGTCCTATGTGGCAGTCAACTATAAAGTTTGACCGTTAACTAAATGACGTGGAAATTAAAAAAATAAAAAAATTTTATTTTTCCACCTAATCATTCCACTTACTGTGTCTATATGATTTATCATATTAATTATTTAATAAAAATTAATTAATTACAAAAAATTAATTATCCAAAATTTTCCGAGGGATTGCTACTCTCCCTCTTCCTCTAACCGGAGTAGCAGCAGTGCCTCCTCTGCTCTACCCCGCAGCTCTAGAGTCTCAGTTGATTCTCCCGCCGATTACAAGGGAAGGTTAACGTTTTGAATGCATCAAATTCATTGCCACCAAGAGCTGGAAAAAATGTTACAGGGGTTTGATAAAAGTACAACTTTCCTGTGATTGTTTCATTCTCAGGGCAAAAAAAAGAGAATCTGATGGGGTTTCTTTCTTACCTAACAATTCATTATTTTACTACCGATGGCAACAACCATACCAATAATCCCTACCTATCTTTACTCTTTCACTAAACAAGTATCTGACAAAAGAACAAGGATACGAGCTTGCCTATTGGACAATAGCTATTCTGTGGCTTGAACAACCAAAGGTTTCTTCTGGGTTGCACTTGTTATCAGTCTCCCTTGTTTCCAGCTTTTGGTGGCAATGAATTTTATCAGTCTCATAAGTCACCCTCGATGTTCGCTTCCTTAGCTCTGGCCGTAAGTCCTTCGCTCCTTCCCGTTCCTGATGCGACGATGCCGCTAATAGGTCACAGAGGAGAGGGAGGTGGGTTTCCAGACACGATTCGGCAGTTGGCGATTCAAAGGCGGCGCCATTTCGGAGGTTCGGAGCGCTCGCGTTGGGGTTAGAGAGGGTTCGCCTCTGGCTCTCCCTATTGTTTTTATTTTTATTTTTCTTTCTGATCCCCTCTCCCCCCACCCCCCCCCCCCCCTCTCTCCTCCTATTTCTCAAATCTTTATTCCCCCCTCAGTTGGAACGATAGAGAGCTTTACTTCCCATGGGGAAGCGGAAGGAGCCGTGAACAAAACCGGGGTTGTAAGCAGCAGCAGAGCAATGTAGAGTCTTTCGTTGGAGATAAACTGATCTCTAGAGAATAGACTCGCCTCCGACTCTCCCTCTTTTCCAAGGGAAAAATTGGACAATAATTTTTGTAATTAATAAATTTTTATTAAATAATTAATATGATAAACTATATTTACAGAGTAAGTGAAATGATGAGATGGAAAAATAAATAAATTTTATTTTTTTAATTTCCACATCATTTAGTTAACGGTCAAACTTTATAGTTGACTGCCACGTAGGACAAATTTAACGGAGTGTAACGGCCAGTGACTAATGGTGAAACGATTCGTAAAGTTAGTGGCGAATAAGAAAGAAAAGTAATTCGGATGGCAAACATGAAAGTTTTATTTAGCCTATATGTAAGTGATCAAACGTTTAATTTAGCCTATATGTAAGTGATAAATGTTAGTAGGTGTTTTTTTCATGTGCATATAATAGAATTCGTAGTAGGTCAATGATCCTTAATGATAATTAAACGACTTAGAAATATCTATATTTTAAGTCAAGGACTGAAAATCATTGCTTGAATCTTTTTATTAGTTTGCAATGAAATGTTACTTAGTGATGATCTCATACACTTATTTGAAGAGACCACAAATATATGTTTCAAAATAAATTGCTAAAGTATATACAATTAGAAGATTTATTATTTTTTAAGAAGAATAATAAAATTCTTAATTTACAAGGCGTGAAATTTACCCGGCCAACAGGCCGGGAACAAAGCTAGTAATTAGAAAATAAAAAGTAAACTAGGTAGCAATAAGGCCACTAGAGAGAGTACCAGTCGGGTGTCCGTGGCCGGACAAGTAATACCAGATAATGTCTAAATCAGCAAACAACAAACAAGTAATAGCGTACTACATCCAGCTGCTGCCGCTGTTCGCAAATGATTGTCATTGATTGCTCTTTCAACCTCCTCTTGCTTCTCCAATTATGAGAGGCAATGACTTGCACAAGCTTGTGCCACCTTCTCTTCTAGTGTTAAGTCGGGTGGAGGGAGGGGTTGGAAATCCATGTTGAAACTTGTCCTTTCAAAGTTTATCCGTGACAAGCTCCAACTTTAACTTGATTTGTGGTGGGAGATCCAAATTTAAGCACCCTTCATGGGCTCCCTTCTGTGCTATCATTCTGAATTTAGGTGTTTTGGTTATATGAACCAAGACTCCAGGGAAAGACATGGAAGCCCTTATCCTATCAAACTGTGCATTTTCATCCTGCCAGTTCAGTTTAGATTACAAAAATTTACACTATGGTACCATTCTTTTAGCTATTGACAAACTAATCGCCTCCGGCGCTTACAATTTAATAATACTCAAACTTCCAAAACTTTACCCAACAGCCCTTGGATCTGAACAACGACCAAAATACAACCCTAAACTACATCAAAGTTCAAGAGAATGCCAGCAACACACCAACTCACGAACCCATTTAAGTTCAACTCATATGCCCACATTAATTTTTATTATAAATTAATATTAATATATATAAAGCTGAAGTAAGTTTACTATTGTATAAAAACTTACTTTTTGGTACCCAAATTTAATTAAATCACAATTTATTTACTATAATGTACATTTTTCATTTTGATATTCCAAATTTAATTTTAATGTAAATTCATTGAACAATTATGTTTTGGTATCTACATTTTATGAGATTTAAACTTACTCTTTGATACTCCAAATTTTATTAAATCACAATTTAGTCACTATAATGTTCATTTTGCATTTTGATACCCCAAATCTAACTTTAATATAAATTCATTGAACAATTATGTTTTGGTATCTACATTTTATGAGATTTTTGTACCTAAATTTTTTTAAATTTACATATTGGTCCAATGTTTAGATTTCACTTGAATCCATGAATCCAATCCACCATAACATAAAAGTGCATATTTAGTTTGTACAATACAAGATGTTGTATCACTCAACTGTAGAAGAAGATTCGACCATTTTATATTTGCTCATTACGTGAAACATTAAATAAATGATAAAAGAGAAACGACTCTAAAATATTTGCCCACTTTCCCGGACAATTTTTTGTAACAGACACGAGCGACTACAATGCCACTGTAATCTTGGGTTGCCTGTTCTTGGCCACTTTTCAAGCATTGGTCGATATGCATGGGGAAAGCTCACCCTTCGAGTGTGCTCCACCTGCGTCACAATCAAAATGGAGGAAGGAATGAAGCAAGCCCACGTCCACGATGATGACTTGACCCCTGAAAAGGCTACTAAGACTCTCTTATTCGTGACAACATGCGTCTTGGATGACTCACTCAAGGTATGTCTTATTTTGGGAGAACTTAACGCCCAAAAAAGGTTCAAGCAATCGTCGCTTTGAAAGAGTCTTGAGGTGAGAGGGGTATTGGCACTAGAGGAGAAAGAGTGCACGAATGTTCCACTAATATCACCTACTTGGTGGAGGGCGAAAAGTTGCCAGTAATTATAAGTTCGTCGCTGACATCCGAGCATAAAGAGTGTCTTATGACTCTTCTGCGTAAGCATAAGTAGGCCATTGCTGCTTGGGTTGAAACCAACTAGACTAAGAGATATAATGAAGATAGTGCTTTACTTACTTACATATGTTATTTCCTAAAAGACGGAGGGTAT